TTACATAGTATAATTTGTATTTTTAGTGTATATTAAGTTAGAAGTGGAAACTTGAGTTATAAAAGAAACACGAGCATATACGTTTTATGATCTGTTCATAGTAATTTTTTGCAAGACACATATAATGAAAAATTAAAGTTAATATAAAATTGATACAATTGATCTAAGGGTTATTTGATTTTTTTAACGATAATGGTTCTACGTAGAGCTGAGTTACAAGAAAAATAAATTTTCTACTACAATACCTTTAACCTCAACAAGTAACAACTTTCGATTTTCAAATGGCGACTCCAATTTATTTTATACCATCAAATTTATCAATTGAAAGAAAATGTTATTTGAATTATTCGAATACAATAAATTGAGATTTTTTAAAGTTTAGGTACAATCAGAAAAGCGTATTTATTTTTGAACGACAACAAAATTATTTTGTGTTATATCGATAAATTGTACATCTTGCTATAATATGAAGCTATAGCAAAAAATTTAATTTTTCATACAAAACAGTTCAAAATGAATATTAATGTTAAGAAAATATAATAATGATGAGCTCTAATATTGTAAATTTAACGGTTAAAATATTTTTTTTGAGCCTTTTCTAAGGAATCGTATTGTTAGTTAATACTAAAAATTGTCGATACATTTAATTTAATCTGTTGTGTTAATGTGATTTTTAACATTAAAAAATCATTAGACTCTGATGTAATCGCATCCTGTAATACAATAATTATCATTTATATCATAGTTTCTTTAATTGTTTTAAGTGAAAAATAAAACATTAAAATAAGGTCACAAAACAATTATATCAATTAATTTTTGTTTGGTTGCAAACGCTACACAAAAATTCAAGAAATTTTGAATTAAACTTCTGCAATTCACATTTATTTTTTAAAATAATTTTAGTAACCAAATGAATTTAACAATTGGCTAAAATATCTTTTCTTTTCTAAAATTAATATTAAAAGGAATTAGGCACAACTTAGGTTTGAACAAAATATATTCTGACTCATATAGCCAAACGGAGGAATATCTTCAAGAAAAAAAACCATTAGATACGTTTAAAAAATTATCGTCTCAAGGACACAGTGAAAATTTTTGGTATATTTTAATTTATATATATATTATATTATATTTAAAACTCAAAATAAAATTGTAATGTAAATAAAACTAATTCTTATTTTTCGGAGAAATTCAGAAAAATAATTTTAATCATTATTTTTTTTTGAAACTAGTATTGATAGATATAGGAAAAATATAATACTAGCTTTTAAGTCGAATGAAAATATTAAAATATTATGTTAAATTTATAAATAAATAAATAAATTCGTTTACACAGTGTTGAAATTTAGACAAAATTGAAAAGATATAATTGTAATGGATGCAATCAGTGAAATCACTAATTTGCATTTAAACACTAAGCTTCGATATTTAGTCGTTCAGAATGATATGAAAAAGTCTAAATCTATTCGTCATGATATATGACGGACCGTTTCCTTTTAGGGATATGTCTTCCACAGTATACAAAAGAACAACATCTCCAAGGCTCAGTAAGTTAAAAAATTCTATTTGTTAGTAGTTAAACATGTTTTACCATATATAAATTAGACTGGATCGGCTATAATAAGTATTTTCATAAAATAATACTATACTAAAAATTCAAAATTTCAGAAGAACTTATTGACAAATTCTTTTATAATAAAGGTATAATCTTCTAAACTATTTTTACAAATAAGGATGGACTGAGAGATATTCAACCTACTTTATTAGAATAAAATAATAATTATCTTCTACTACATTAATAATAGTACTTGGAAGTACTATTATTACTATTATTATAATAGTTAATAGTTAATAATAGTAAATTAATACTATTATTATAATAGTACTTTTAGCTATGTCCTTTAAGACATTGAAAGATCATCATGAACACCGTATACTTTGGAAATTTTAAAAAACTATCCATGCATTTTAGTGAAACATCTTTAACAAAACAACAAGCTTGTTGATTTTTATTAGTATTTGATTGGTTGTACAATTCACAATCAGAACTATTTGATAAAGGGACATCTAAAAATAATATTAAACAATTAAATAAGTGTTTAATATTTATTTCTACTTAATTTAATGAGGAACAATGTTCCATAAAATTTAGTTTATTCTAGTTAATATGTTGTAGAAATTTGTAGGATAATTAAAAGTAATTAAAATAATTTTAAAAAACTATCTATAATATAATGAAAAAAGAATTATATTATTTTTAATGTAATAAATACTAACAATTTATATTATTTTTAATCATTGTTATTAGTGTTTTACATCCACTCTTATAAGCTATAGTTGTATAAGAAAACACAAGGAAACCAACATAGCCCAGCCACAACAGAATTGCACCATATTACTTATACACAAAGACACAATTTGTTACTGACCAATTTGTAATCCATCATATATTATTATCATCATTACTTATTAAGACAGTAATATGCCTACAAGATAAAATTTCTTCTCAATTGTATTTTACTATTGTTCTAAGTAATTAATTTATTCCATTGAACTAATTTTAAATTAACTTTTTGGTTATTTTGGTCATTTTGGTTACCATTCTAAGTCTTACCACTTAAGAAAATAGCAGGTTGTTGTCCAATTTTAAGTCCATTAGGTTCATTCTAAATGTTTTCAACCAAATCTTTTATTTCTAGTTAAAAACAAAAAAAAATTATTCATGTGAATCAAATATTAATCATATTGAATTTTATACAATTACTCACAGATGTTTAAATACAATATACTACTAATATTAATTGAGGAGATTGCATTGATCAGATTTTCTTTTTTATTTAATTATTTAAATTCATGTGCATAACTATCATAATGTCTCCTTTTGATGGGTTAGGAAATATGGATATTTTAAATTCTAAAAAAGAAATTTTACATAATATAATTTGTACATTTAGTGTTATATACAAAATAATATTAGAACTAACTTAAAACATAGAATACTAAATACTAAATTTATTAAAACATTAAGATAATTTAGATATATACAGAATGATCGGAATCTGGTAAGACACTTATTTTCTCAGAAACTATAGAGAATTTAAAATTTTTGTAAAAAGAAAAATTATTAAGTTTATAAAACTCTACAATAATATGAAGTTAAATAAATTTTTTTTTTATCCATTCAGGTATAAAAATGTTTATTTATTTTTTAAATGGGAACCACTATTTTTGATTTGATAATATGAAAGAAAAAAAATTACAAATAATTTTGTTCTTATGATTTTTTTTATCCAAATAACCGTTTAGGGTTTATAATTGTTCAAAGATTTTGACTCCAGAAAAAATATTGTCATTTATTACGTTTCATAATATTGGTTGCAGTGCAACCGGTACTTTTGTTAGATCCTTTAGTCTTACAATACCATAGACTCTTAGTTATTAATAATACACCGAAAACCTGATTTGAATCTATCATTGTAATCACTCATTTAGTGCGTAGTAAATATTTATAGCTAATTTACCTGTCNCATAGACTCTTAGTTATTAATACACCAAAAACCTGATTTGAATCTATCATTGTAATTACTCATTTAGTGCGTAGTATATATTTATTGCTAATTTACCTGTCATAATTTGATCAATAAAATTTGGTTTATGCAACAGCAAATAAAAATAATTACTTCTGTATTTAATACAGTAAAATGACAATAGAAATTTGGCCTAAAATCACTTAACTTTAACAAGCTGTAACGGATGAACGGTTAATCGGATAATAAAAATTATAAGAACAATATTGTTTGTTTTTTTATTTTCTATCATATTATCAAATCAAAAATGGTGGTTCCCATTTAAAAAAAATTATAAATAAACATTTTTATACCTGAATGGATAAAAAAAAATTTAGTTAACTTCATATTATTGTAGAGTATTTTGAACTTGATATTTTTTTGATGTGACTGGGATACTGCATTGAAGTTTGTTACTCACAAAGACTCCATATTTACATGGAATCATTGGCACTCCATATTTGAAATCAGCAATAATGTATTTACTATAAATTTGTAGTGTTTTGGTGTTTATATTTATTACAAAATACTACAATTAAAATTTATAATAATTAATCATTTTTAATAATGAAATATGATTTATACATAAAAAAATGAATGCTTTTATATATGTTTATATGTTTTATCTTAGATGTACTGCAGTACGATAACACTCCGTGTATTTTTTTTAGTCTCGCGCTGTTCGTCAATCCAGTGACACTTTTTATTTGTATTTTTTTTTTTTTAGATTTATATATATATATTGAATAAATAACAATATACATGTACATGTGTAGTGTTTTGGTGTTTATATTTATTACAAAATACTACAATTAAAATTTATAATAATTAATCATTTTTAATAATGAAATATGATTTATACATACATAAAAAAAAAAAGTACAAATAAAAAGTGTCACTGGATTGACGAACAGCGCGAGACTAAAAAAATTACACGGAGTGTTATCGTACTGCAGTACATCTAAGATAAAACATATAAACATATATAAAAGCATTCTTTTTTTTATGTATAAATCATATTTCATTATTAAAAATGATTAATTATTATAAATTTTAATTGTAGTATTTTGTAATAAATATAAACACCAAAACACTATACATGTACATGTATATTGTTATTTATTCAATATATATATATAAATCTAAAAAAAAAAAAATACAAATAAAAAGTGTCACTGGATTGACGAACAGCGCGAGACTAAAAAAAATACACGGAGTGTTATCGTACTGCAGTACGATAAAACATATAAACATATATAAAAGCATTCATTGTGACATGTTATTTAACATCCCTACAAATTCAATAAAAATAAATAAAAAATATATTAAGCACATATAAAGCAAGTATTATAAACATAAAAACATATCGTACATTCAAGTTTTTAATAAGATTGCAATTATTTTTACCATTATAAATTGGTTGAATAATAATACGATTGAGTTAAACAATGATTTTTAGTAAAGAAATAATTCGAAATGTATAACTGGCTAACGGTTGTTTGCTATTTTTGGGAAGTATCCAAAAACCATATATCATCAACTTAATGGCGATTGTACAAAATCAAAATATTTAATAAAGATAGGTTACATTTTGGGTGTTAAGAATGAGATTTATCATCTTATCAGAATAACATAAATATTTAGTCTTTCTATTATTGACTTCACCGGTTAATGTTATATCAAAATAAGAGAAAACTGTTTATTGTGATATTGCTGGTGACACACTCGTTATTTTTGTAATTTAATATCATATAACATAAATTTATTAATTTTATTATTCATTGACACTCGTGAGTAATTAAACAACTTTACTTAAAAACTATTTAAAAAATTATTATCATGCAAGTTCTCATACGTTCTCCGTGTAAAATTTTGTGTATGTTAACTATCAATTTAATTGTGAAAATATTTCGTTTTTATTAACCTAAAAAGCTTTTATCATTGACGATATAATCATATACCGAACATTTATTAAAAGAACAAATTAATAGAAGACTTGGAGAGATTAAAGTAATACTTTTTTTCATTATAGTAATTACCACATAAAAAATTAATCTTATTAAAATTAAATACTCTCAACTTCTGTATAATTTAATATGTAAAGTATGCATCTTTGAAGAATACAAATATTTTTAAGAAGTCTATTATAAAATTTTTGAAAATAAATTAAAATACAGATATTTATTTATTTATTTTTAAAGTTTCAGGAAGATACAAATTTTAATTTTCGTTAACTGGAAATAGATAATATTAATTTACCAGGCACTTCAAAAAAATAGAAAATTTAGATTTTCAACTAGCATGTATTATATATTACAACCTTAGTGGCTTAATTACAGGAATAGTTAAGGGAGTTTAATTTATTTCAAATATTTTAGAAATATTATAATACTGTATAATTACTAAGTACATTAACATAACTCTTACATGAATTCTATTGTATATTAATCAAAGTACCATTAAAATAGTTAAAAAAATAATTTTTAAAAGGTAGTATAGTGTATAAAAACAACTCTAGTATTGTATAAAAATCACAATGTCTAATATTTGATTCGCATGGATAATTTTGTTTTTTTTAACTAGTAATAAAAGATTTGGTTGAAAACATTTAAAATGAATCTAATGGAAATGAAATTGGACAACAACCTGTTGTTTTCTAAAGTGGTAAGACTTATGTGGTAACCAAAATAAATTAATTTTACTTGAAGTTCTTAAGGATTTATTCATGTTTGTAGTCGAGTTCTAACTTTTTGGACTCAAATAAAAACTTTGGGTCTCAAATACTCAGCATTCCAAATCTGAGTGTTGAGACTTTTTTTAGATGTTGAATATGTCAATATGAGTTCATTTTTGTCAATAAATGGCTTTAAAAATATAAGTATGAATAACTATGCTATGTACACTTATTTTTCACTTACGATGTTAAATACTTCTTTCTTTTTGATAACATTGGTAACGATATTCATCGAGGATGTATCAAAAAATTCACCATTTATTCCTTGAAGTTTAACGCGATACTCTTCGGGCTGTTCACGATTCTTGTCATTTGCTCTGGTAACTGTTAAATTTTGTAAGTAGTCATAATATCTTATGACAATCCGATCTTAAAATTATTAAAAAAGAATTATCGACCTGAAAACTTCTTAAATCTGGATAATTATTAGGTTTATTTTGTTTAGTAATTTAGATATTTCAACTAATTATAAAAAAATTCTTTAATATAAAGGCATTTATTGTGCAAATAACAAAAAACAAAACTAGGCTCCTCATTTTATTTTTACTCAAACACACTCCCCTAATTTAATGAAACCTAACATTTCTAATTTTTTTATTCATTCTGTTATTCTTTAGTAATTGCCATAAATAAAACTTCGAAACTCGGTATTTTTGTAACTACATTTAATTAATTATGAAATGTATTAAAGCAAAGGAGAGTCATTTAACATAACTAAAATAAAAATGTAATAAATTCTCAAACAGAAATAAAAGACAAAATAAATAATGTTCTGTCTTTTCGAAATAATGTAAATATTAAATTGTCAACTATACATAATGAGCATATGAGATGATGTTCTTTTGAACACAGGCAAGACATATCTTTAACAAGTAACGTACGTTATGCATATCATAAGGACTAGATCTAGTCTTTTTCATATCCTTCTTAACGCCTGAATAACTATGTTCAGTTTTTAAGAACGAAAAGAGTTTATGACATGTGTTGCTCTTGATACTCATAGGCTGTAAGTTAACTCTTTTATTAGGTTGTACATATAATGATGTTTCCTTTGGGTCGCATTGATCTCCAAAACCAAATGTATTTATTATAGAAAATATAGAAGATTATACCTTTATTATAAATTTAACATAATATTTTAATGTTTTCATTTGACTTAAAAGCTATTATTATATGTTTTCTATATTTATCAATACTAGTTTCAAAAAAAAAATAATGATAAAAAATATTTTATTATTTTTCTGAATGTTCTCCGGAGAATAATGAGAATGTAGTGTTAGAACGAGTGGTGCGAAGAGGGATTTTAAATTTTAGAAGACTAAGAAGTTGGATAGAGTCTATTTTGTTGGGTAGGAGTTTATTTAAAAAAAAAAAAAAAATAAGAATTCCGAATAAAAAAAAAAATTTTATTTTTTTTTTTTTAACTAGTAATAAAAGATTTGGTTGAAAACACTTAGAATGAATCTAATGGACTTGAAATTGGACAACAACCTGCTATTTTCTAAAGTGGTAAGACTTATGTGGTAACCAAAATAAATTAATTTTACTTGAAGTTCTTAAGGATTTATCCATGTTTGTAGTCGAGTCTGAAACTTCAGAACTCAATTACAAACATAGATAAATCCTTAAGCACTTCAAGAAACAAGACAATCCATGAAAGCTTTAACACATTCATAAAAGTAATTTTATTTAAAATAAGTTCAATGGAATGAATTAATCACTTAGAGCAATATTATAATACTTAAGAGAAGAAATTTTATATCAGTCTTGAAGGCAAATTACTGTCTTAAATAGTAATTTGATAAATAAAAAAATAAGAATTCCGAATAAAAATAATAATTTAACTCTAATAATTTAATAATTTAAATAATAAATAACTCTCTTGAGGTAATCAAACAATTCTAGGAGGTGTCACTAGAATTTTAAAAGTTCATAATTAACGGCCACTCTAACTGACACTAAATAGTATCTCNAACTAAAGTTAATAGTGCTAAATGTTTTGCCGTACTCGCTGACGAAACGTCTGATATTTCCTCAATCGAACAATTCTCATTGTGTGTAAGATATATTGAGTGTATCGATGAAAACAATTTTAAAATAGTTGAACAATTTTTAAAATTTGTACCAGTAGAATCAACTTCGGGTCAAAATTTAGCAGATGTACTTTTAACAACATTAAATGCATGTGGTATCAACATAAATTATTTACGCGGACAAGGCTACGATGGAGCTGCAGCAGGCGCGAACGCAGGGGGGTGTTTTGGGGGTTGAAACCCCCCCCCGAAATATCAAGAACAAAAAATAAAATAACTTGACTTACAAGTATATTACTAAAAAAAAACAATAATAAAATTCATTATTAGTTGTCTAAAAGTTTCTCATGATTTGTAAATTAACATATACTCGTATACGTCACTATAAGTGCATACAAAAAATATCATTACTTAGTATAATAATGCTGTGAATATGTTATAAATAACTGAACGACACCGGTCGCCACCATTTCGATAATAATGTAGACGGCTAGGGTTATTAATTTATGGCCTCAGATATATTTCGGGGAATTATTCGCAACGACCCGTGTTATCTAAAATTTAAAATATATTGGAGTAAATTGTTCAAAATAAACCACATTGCTAACAAATACACAACATTTATGGATGTACGTTTGTACGCTCTTTACTGAAGTTTTGACTGAATAATTTTGAGTAAAATGAGTTCGATATTAAAGTTTTTTAAACCCATTACCAATAATATTGACAAGAAATTAGACAAATCGACTGAAGAAAGTCCACCAACAAAGAGGCAAAGAACTGATATTTCACAACCTGTTGAAAGTCGTAATGTGAGTTGTTAAGAATTTACATATTTATTTATTTAATACATTTTTAGAACGATTACATCGTTTTGTAAATAAATTTATTTTAGTATTAAATTCTATATAATACTACACCCACACAATATAATATATACAATATTTTTTCTAATATTCTATATTACTAATAATGAATAAAATTAATATTAACATAGAGTAGCACAGGAGAGTCGGTGCACAGTCTTTTTATCTGTAGATACAATTAAATTTAGTCATCAATTCTTCTTTTTATAACTATATCCTAATTGCAAACTTTGGTAGTTATATACATATGAAAGATNGTAGTTATATACATATATACATATGAAAGATAAAGTGTCGGTGAAATTCATTTTTTTTAAATTTATAATAAATATCATAAGCTTTCATTTAAGATATATTTATAACTTGGAGTAATTGTAGAACCCTTTCAAAATTAAATTTGAAAAAATCAACTTTTCGGATAAAAGTAGCTCTTTTTAATCCCCATTAGTGTTCAGGCGAAAAATCAGAGTAAAACGATGGTGCTCGGAAAAAACTAGCTAAATCTAAAATTTGCAAAAATTGGGTTTATGTCATACCTAGGTACAGAAAAATCATACGGTAAAACTGTTTAGTCGTACATCGATTTTACCAGTTGTTATACACATTTCACAAAATAATTTTTTTGTTTGAGAAAAACCAGTTATAAGACTTAGGCCACTTATCAACACACCAATCCAAATTTTAGACTTGACTAGTTTTTGTCGAACATCGTTGAAAAAATATCTATAAATATATACAGGGTGTCCCAGACTCAACTGACAAATGGAATAACTTTTTATGTTTAAAATATATTTCAAAAATTATTTTTTTGAAAGATTATTGAACTTTTGGACTATGTTTATAACAAATATTTTTTTAATTTTTTCCAATAAGAAAAAAATTAAAATTTTTTTTTTTTTTCTCAATGGAGAAAAATAATAAAATGTATATTTTGAAAATAGTCTAAAACCTTAAAAATTATTTCAAAAAATAAGTATGGAAAAATATTGAAAATATCAAAAGTTATTCGACTTGTCATATCACACTGGGACACTGTATGTATATTTCGACATTTTCATAATTTTTTTATTAAAATAGCCATAACTTCCCCAAAAATAAACAAATAAAAATAATATATATATTTTTTATAAATACCTTAAGTATTTATTTTTTATTTGGTATATTGTTTATAAAAATTGAAGTCTCCAGAAAATTGTTTTGAAAGTTCAACTTATTTTTGAAAATAATTTTTATTCAACTCAACTTTAGAAAATGTTCCGGAAAACCTGACACTTTAATAAATAGCTTAAATTAAAGTTTATGTAATATACTTTCTTTTGTAAAAAAACTGAGGGACTTGGACTTATGTTTTAAGCTTAATGAATTTTAAAGTTGAAAAATAAAGAACTAGTTTTTTTCAAAAATAACGAATTTTCTTAAGTATTTTAAATGTAAAACTTCATTGTTACAGAATTACTTTTTTAATTATAAACAAATCAATAATCAGTTTAAAATTCAGGTTGTTAAGGGGAGCACCCTCTACGAATGTTTGAACTTTTTACATTATTTTAAAATAACTACTGACTCTTGTTTGTTAATTATTTATAAATAAGAACAAATTTTATACATAAATAAATTATAAATATGGGGTGTTTGAGGTGGGGACTCTCTTCCCCCTACAAAATATTTTAATTTTTTTCTGATATAAATTTTTGTTTTAACTGCTGACCAGTGCTCGAATTGGGTGGGGTGCGCAGGGGGACTGAGCTCCCCTACTTATTTTTCCCATTTCGAGCACTGCTGCTGACTAAATAAGTTGTCATTATTTTTATACTTAAAAAATCATACTTTTAATCAGGATATTCTTGTAGAAATACGAGTTTATGTTACTTTTTGCAATAATCTAATTTAAGCTAAAAAATTTAACACTTTCTCCTGATTTGTATCGAAGCGTTCTTTATGATAATGGTTTTTAATCACTGTCAGCTATAATTATGTCCCATCACTTCTATACCCAGACAAGACTTTACACCGACCCCCTGTGCTACAGTTTTTTATTTCTTTCATGGTCCTTTAACATGAAATAAACTAGTAAATATAATTTACTTATAATTATTTTATAGATTTTTCCAAATGATATCGCAAATTTTTCTCATAAGCAGTTGAACGACTTTGAAAAATATGAAGTAATTGAACATTATTGGGTACCTGATATCAACTTCAAGTTTCCGACTTCTGGCAAACGAAATTTAAAATTTCAGCATTCTTGGTTGCGCTCATTTGCATGGTTGGTGTATTCTGCTGCAGAAGACGGAGCTTACTGCCGTTATTGTGTCTCATTTGGATCAAATTTTGTTGGAAAAGGGGGTCATCAGAGCTCAAATATGTTAGTGCAGAGAATGGAAGAAAGCGCTCGAAAAATTCAAAGAACACCAAACAAAAAAATATCATCTTGATGCCATGGAGGATGGACAAAATTTTAAAATGATTTACGAAAACCGGAAATGTGGTGTGATCAGCGAAATTAACAAAGGACGGAAAATACAGCAACTCGAAAACAGGAAAAAGTTAATTCCGATCATCCGAGCAGTTTTGCTGTGTGGTAGGCAGGGATTAGCAATAAGGGGTCATCGAGATCAAGGACCTTTATCATTAAAAATGCCACAAGAAAACGACGGAAATTTCAGAGCGTTACTTCGTTATTCCCTAAATAGCGGTGATCAGGTTTTGGCCAATCATTTGAATACTGCGGGTGCAAATTCAATGTATTTAAGTTATCGTATTCAAAATGAAATAATTGTNAATGTATTTAAGTTATCGCATTCAAAATGAAATAATTGATGCAGCAGGGAAACAAATAACGACAAATATTGTGCAACGTGTAAACAAATCTGGATATTTTTCTGTCATTGCTGACGAAAGTACAGATGTGAGTGGCATTGAACAGTTTTCAATATGCGCTCGATTTGTTGATAAAATTGACGATGATTATATTATTCGAGAAGACTTTTTGTGTTTTATTCCTGTTGAGGACGTTACCGGAAAGGGGCTTGCGAATACGCTGTTGACCAAGATGAAGTACATTGGCATAAACCTGGTTAATATGAGAGGACAAGGTATGTGTAAATAATTATTAAGTTATACTTTTATATGTATAAGGTTATATTTTAAATTTTAAAAAATTTTTAGGCTATGATGGAGCGCGAGCAATGAGCGGAAAATTCAACGGATGTGCTGCCAAAGTTCGAGAATTATATCCGGAAGCTATTTACGTCCACTGCGCTAATCATAATTTGAATTTAGCCATTACACACGCGTGTAAAATACCAGCCATCCGAAATTGCATTGGTACAATTAAAGAGGTTGTAAATTTATTTCGCCTATCTAATAAGGCAGGTCTAGTTTTGAAAAACAAAATTCAACAGTCTTGCCCAAGTGCAAAACAAACGCGTCTTCTTAAATTATGCGAAACGCGATAGGTTGAACATTTGGATTCACTCAGTTTGTTTAACGATGTATATGAACATATCTGCTCATCGTTAGAGTACATGGATGAAAATAATTTGATAACTGACGGAGTTAAACCTCATGCCCTGCTTACATCGATACAAACACCACAATTTATTATAGCTTTAAAAGTAGTGAAGCCAATATTCAGCATTATGAAAAATCTCAGTGTTTTTTTACAAAAGGAAGATTGTGATCTTAGCAATTGCATTGATTATGCAAACCTCGTGTATGATGAAATCAATGCGATGCGTTGTGATTCGGAATTGAAATTCAAAGATTTGTTTTTAGAAGCAAAAGAAATGGCGGACAAAATGGATATTAATTTAGTACCTCCGCGTAATGTTGGAGTACAGAAGAATCGAGACAATTACGAAGGAGGTCCTGAGGCATATTTCCGTCGGTCCATATTTCTTCCTTTTTTGGACCACTTATCAATGCAGTTAAAAATAAGATTTTTTGAACACCGGGAACTACTTTCAAAAATTCAAAATATTCTTCCTACTAAGTGTTCTGAGCTGAATACAAAAGAAATCAGTGAAACAGTAAGTACTTTTGCAAAAGAATGGCCAAATGATATCAAGGGATCTACTGATAATTTTATAGCTGAGCTGACCATGTGGCGCAGGTAACAATTTATCTATTATGAATAAAAGTATTTTTTTAAATCTTTATTAAAACATAAAATGCGTTGTTGTTTTAGGCATAGTTTAAAAATTTCAAAAGATAAATGGCCGGAAACATTTATAAATGCTCTAAACCATTGCGATTCTACATTATATCCAACAATACATAGATTTTTACAAGTTGGTGCGACTTTACCGGTTTCAGCGGCTACCAGTGAACGGTCTTTTTCTTGTCTTCGAAGATTAAAAACATATTTGAGAAACAAGACGGGTGAAGATCGATTAAATGGTTTGATGCTCTTAAACATTTACAGAGACGTGGAGGTGACGTGCGAAGAGATAATTAATACTATGGCTAAAGTGCCACGTCGCTTAGATATAATTTTATAGAAAAAATTTCAATAATTAAATATTTTTGAATGTATTATATTTATGAACATTTTGCATTTTTTTTCAAAAACCCCTCCCGAAATTTTTTCCTGCGTTCGCCCCTGTTGTAAAATAAAATACAAATCATATTTAGAGTGCATATAAGTCATAATACCCAAATATTTTCTATTATTATTAAATGACATTACACTTTTATAATTTATTAAATGATTACTTGATAATATAACAAAATAAAGGACAGCCTTGCTATTGATAGTAAACTAAAAATGTAAAGAATTCAAATTTTATATCTTATATTCTAAATTTTTTTAAATAACGCAGATAATTTTATTTGCTAATAAATATTTCAGTCTTTATTCTGTTCTTAAAATATAATTAAGTTAAATTAAAAAAATTATTATTGATTATTTGCAGCTTATTATTTAAAAGTAAAAATGTAATTAAACCTACTTCCAAAAAAATTTAAAAAACTTTGAATAGAAAATAATATAAAAAGAAAATTTAAGCGATTTGAGTATATTTACATTTTTGTAATCAACAATTTAAATAATAAATTATAATAATAAAACAGAATAATTTAAAGTAGTTTTAAATACAGATAAAAAATGAAACATAAAACAAAGTTTAATTTAATTTATACAAAAACAAATATACTAGAAACATGAATAAAAATACTATATGTTATACAATAAAACGTATAACACGATGTATTAAACTTTATTTTTTATTAAATCATGTCGTCCGACTGCAATCTGTGGCAAAAATAAAATAGTTATAAGATATTTATATAATTCCAAAAGTCGGTGGTATTATAAATGGTAAGTTTATAACCATTGAAAATTAGGAAATGTGGAATCGATATAATGTGGTTAATTAGATAAATTGGCTGAATTAGAAATATAATTTTACAATAATACTAATCAGCACATTATGAATACTTGAGATGATTTTTGTTCGTATAAAATTTTTTAACCGATTTACAATTGAAACTAATTGACATCATTACAGCCCGTAATCTTCTGTTAACAACGTTAAGGAATATAGACATTAACTGTCGAATGCAAATGAATAGGAGGGGTTTGGTTGGGTTTATAGTAATTTATAATCAAATCAGTTTCACCACCGTACTCGGTCCAATAGTTTTTATTGCTTCTACGTTAGCATAAACAGTAGTTAGCATTTCTTTTGGCGGAGGTGTTACGACAAGTTCAATTAATAAAGACTCTCCTTCAAATTACTTTGGAATCTCATAGACATCTTTTCGGTTAAACAATATCGTTTGTGCTATGTCAATNTTCGGTTAAACAACATCGTTTGTGCTATGTCAATCAAGTAAATTTTTAACATACCCTCGTTCGTCTCGTCCATAATTTTCCCACGGTACCATTCAACGCCAAAAAATATCAAGCACATGTCGTACTTTTCAACTTTCTGGATGCGTCTCAAGTTATTTTCCATTTCGCGTAGTTTATCGCACAAGGTGATAACAGACTTTCTACTCTCCATAGAGTGTACAAGATAACACGTCTTCGTTCGTTTTTGAACTATCATTATCTGTGGAAAAATTATAGTAATAAAAAATTGTATGTATAATAATTATAAATAACTAACTTTTTGCGTCTCGCCTAGTTTTAATGTTGGTTTCTTAGTACATAGGCCTTTTTTTGTTATGTCAGTGTTGAGATTTCGTTCTTTGCAGTATTTTACTTTAACTTCATATGGGTTCATATCTGTATTCTCTGTGCCATACTGTTTAGACTGCGTTTCTTTCGGAGTTACGGTGTTCTTGTACTGGTTAAGTCGGTCTTGAGTTGAATAAAGTTTGTTGTCGTTAGATAAGAATTTCGTGTTCATATTGAAAAATCGACCGAAAAACGCAGTTATCGAATCGTGTCTTTCGTCGATATAATTGTGTTGAATTTCCACGTTGAGGTCGAATAATTTTCCAAATTGTATTAACTAGAAAATTAATTATTCAACATTAACTACAATTGCGGTTTACCTATAGAAAATAGAATAATTTACCTCGTTTCGACCTGTAGTTTTAGGTATGTGCAGTGCTACGTTGGGTGCAATACTTCTCAGCAGGTCGAAGAGTTTTCTACCGCCTCCTTCGTAGTCTTTACACATATGCTTCTCGAGACTGTAAACTTCGTGTTTCTTATACGATGGGCCGTCCCATGGGGGAGACGTCACTATGACTTGTGGCTTATATTTTTTCAAAGTTTCTCCAATTTCGAAGAAGTCTCCCTGTATAAAT